CTTTGCACTTGATTTAGTATCAGTATAATGTATCCTGGAGTTTTGAGACTTGAAATCTCATTGTCTAATGTTGTTTACTTGCACTATGTTGCACATAAGGTTTTTTGATCTGAAAAAGAAATAAGTAACATAATATCTGATAGAGCGGTCCTCGACTCCACTGTGAAATTATATGCATGATGTTGTTTCTTTGCATAGGAACTTTCCTAGAAGCTTCCTCGAATAAGATTCAATTTAGTGGCCTCAACCGTAAAGCATGATCTTCAAGTTTTCTTTGTAATGATGGAGCTATCTTAGTGTTACTGCCGAGCATACGTATCCGGCTGAGTTCTAATTTCTTGAGGCCAAGATACTTCTTGTATTTTGGAATCTAGATTGACTTAAATCCAAGTCGAAACCTCATCAATGTAAGAATTTTCCTGGGCTTGGGAAATGTAGTTTTTATATTTGTTCATCATCTCAGCTCATACATGCAATTTAGAATGTTGTTATCTGATTTGTGGGTGAGGACTTGAATAAAAATGGTATTGAATATCAGGACTGCTCGAAATGCAAAGCATTAGGAACTTCATCCTGCATCACGTGAGGTTGAGAGGATCTTCTCAGCCAATTTTCCTCATTCAGGGTGGGAATATGCTCAAGGGAGGACTCAGTCAGCTGATATGCACATCAACAAGTACCAGCCATGATCAAATAATGGATAGAGTGATTAAATTGGTCAAGAAATTCGATAAAATTGATTCCCATAAGGTAATTCCGATACTTCCTTCTCTCTCTCTCTCTATTTGTTTTCTTCACACTTCATCTGTATACTTCAGTTTTATAAATTGTGAGCATCAAAATGCTCTCTTTACTGGGTGAAATTATAAGAATCAGTATTTGTTAAGAATCTCGTACATTGAGAAAAAGTCTCTAGCGCTTATTATAGTTTCGAGGAAATAAATGATAGTTCACTTGGCAATTGAACAGGTTACTGAAACAGCTGATTTCAAAAAAGATCTGTCACTGGACAGCTTAGACAGGGTGGAGCTAGTCATGGCTTTTGAGGAAGAGTTCTCAATCGAGATCCCGGAAGAAAAAGCAGACAAGTTAACTTGCTGTGCCGATGTTGCAAGATACATTGTTTCAACAACTGAGTCTAAAGCAACAGAGTCCTGATTCATGGACCAGCTGGGTGAAAATTTTAGAAGTTGCTTCATACTTTTTACTGTTAATTAGTTGCTTTCACAGTTTATTAAACCAATAATTGTCCTTCATTCTTCTCTAATTTATACTATGCTCGGTGATCTCAGTTGAACGCTAAGAAATTCTCTTCGTGTATGTATTCCATATATGCTTATCGATATTCATAGCTTTCCATACAACAGAATATCATATGTACGCATGGAACTGACAGGAAAAACCGAATGTTTGAACTTCATTTACATAACTCAAGTGTTGTGACTGAAGCGCCATCTAAATGAGTCATCATGAAGCCTATCCGATTCATGCTATCTGTTTTCTGCCTCTGGCAATCCCGATGCATCATTGTGAAGACTTGGAGGTGAAATGTTCGAAGATGATCCTTCCAGTAGAATAAGTACGGACACCATTGTCGACTGACAAGAATTTTAGGCCTTTCTGCTTCTTGACATAAGCTGGCTGGCACCGGGAGTTATTCGGTATCCGAAGAACTTTCACCAAACATGTTTTGTCCAGGTTGTGAGTTGCATGGAGCTGTGAAGGGAGATCAATGGAGAAATCTCCATATTTGTCAGTCACTGCTTCTGCCCAAACTGGTTTGCTTTGTCCTCTCATCCTGCATTTCAGAGTCACCACGGCATCTGCAAGTATTGAAATGATCTCAGATCCCATATTGGCTTTGCTGGATATACAATGAACTTTCAGTATCATAAGCAAATAAATAAAAATTTTAATGAAGAATTAATTTCTTGGTATAATTATTTTAGAAAATTAATATTTTCTGTTACTTTGTATTTAATTAGGATGTTGTAATCACTTCATAGTTATCAATATATTTTGGAAAAAAAATGTATGAATTAATTCAGTAATTAATCTTCTGATGCAGCTAGTGCTGCCATAAATTGGGAAACTTCATACATTTTTTGTTTGAAGTATAAAATATATATATTCATCAATTATGTAATATACATACACCAATTACAATAAATATAAATGATTTCGAAATAATGAAATACACAAAATACAATTAAATTTGAACACAATTTTTTTTAAAAATTATAATGTATAAAAATAAATAATTTTTAAATAAAAATACATATAGAAATACAGTCAGACTCAAACACACAATTTCTGAAAACGTATCAACTATTAATATATTTTTAATTTGACAA